GCACCTGGATGGAGGTGCGCGGAGACAGAGGGGAAGGAAAGCGGGAGAAAGAGGACAGACCTTTATACTATTTCTGCAGTATGTCTTCCTTCCTAATGCCATCTTGCTTAGGCTGACATCATTCCTAAAACCTTCAGTCTGTGTTTACTGAGTTCCCACCTCTAAGCTAGCGGGAGTTGGGGTGGCCAGGCTGGGGAGATGTTTGGGGTCTCGGGAGTCCTTGTATTTTGTCTACACGCCTGCATCAGTTATCGTGGCATTGGATTCTGGCACCTGGATTCAGGAGAGTATGACTGTAATAGAGGTCAGGACCTAGCCCCAGAGTGCCTCTTCCTGGCCCCCCTTCCTCTGGCTCAGTATGCATGGTCCCCCACCACTGAAGGGGACAGGGAGTTCATCTGGAGCAGGCCAGCGGCCCTGCCCTGTGTGCAGGCCAGCCTTGCCCAGGTGGCTCTGAGCCACAGCACATTTCACAGACATTACAGAGGCCCATGGCCAGGCTTCTGCCAGGGGTGGAATGCCAGGCAGGCAAGGAGGAGGAGGAGGGGGAGGAGGAGGAGGAGGAATGCAGTCTGTTCTGTGTAGGAGCCAATATGTGATGTGGATGCCACGGGAGAGCACAGTGCCCTGATGTCCAAGGTCACGGGCTGAGGACTGCCTGCCGTCCCCACCCATGTGTGACCAGCCCCAGTTTGAGGCCTGAACAGCAGCAACCTTCCCAAGCACATCTTCATAGATGAAATGGGTCACTGTGGCTCCAGGGGCCACACTGGTTAGGAGCCTGGCTTAAATAAAAATGGTTCACTGTTTGGAGTAATTTCTTCCCCCTACCCAACATTTCATTATGGAAATTTCCCAACCTGCAGCAAAGTTCAAAGGATTGTGCAAGGCGGGCACTGGTGGCTCACACCTGTAATCCTAGCTTCTCAAGAGGCTGAGATCTGAGGATCGCGGTTCAAAGCCAGCCCAGGCAGGAAAGTCCATGAGACTCTTATCTCCAATAAACCACTAGAAAACCGGAAGTGATGCTGTGGCTCAAGCGGTAGAGCGCTAGCCTTGAGCTGAAGAGTGCAGGGGCAGTGCCCAGGCCCAAAATTCAAGCCCCATGACGGACCAAAAAACAAAACAAAACAAAAGGATTGTGCAATAAGCTTCTATAGACTCACCCCTTAGGTTCTACCTTAGGTTCTACCATGAGCATGCTACACATTGCTGCACCACAAAACCATCCTGCACCCACCCATCCACAAATTTATAATTTTCACAAACTGCCCTTCAGCCAGGTGCCAATGGCTCATCCTAGCTACTCAGGAGGCTGAGACCTGAGAATAATCCCTCAAAGCCAGCCTGGGCAGGAAAGTCCTTGAGACTCTTATCTCCAATTAGCTAACAAAATGACAAAAGTGGAGCTGTGGTTCAAGTGGTAGAGTACTAGCCTTGAGGGGAAAAAAAATCTCAGGGGCAGCACTCAGACCCTGAATTCAAGCCCCAGGATTAATACACATATACATACACACACACATATGTATATACACACACGCACACACACACACACACACACAGTGAGAGAGAGTGAGTGAGTGAGAAAGGGAGAGGGAACAACTTTAACTGTGGGTTTCAGAGTTCAGGGACAGGTTTTTGTAGGGTTTTTGTTATTGTTTTGTTTTTACTTTATGCCAGTACTGCTCATGCTGTCTTAGAACCACAATCCTCAGATCTTAGCCTCCTGAATAGCTCAGATCACAAGCCACTAGCACCTGGCTAAGGAGAAAATTTTGAATGTGGCTCTGGCACTCTCCAAAGACTTGTATTCTCATAATCCTATAAAGCAAAAGGAAAAGTATTACCCAGCCATGGAGAGAGTAGGAAGCGAGGCTAGAGAGGCCATCTCTCCTGAAATAAGTATAATTTATTTTCCACGTCTGTTTTGGCAGCAACAAATTATCACAAAGAAAAAAATCTGTCACCATATTTCCAAGCGTCAAGGAACTGGAGAGCGCTGTATGTGTTGGAAAGAGATCACACTTCACAGCTGACTGGCCCTGCTCCTGCAAGGCTCTGCTAGCTGGAGAGGGCACAGACAGGAGAGGAGCCTGCGACTCCACTTCCCGCCATGCTGGCCCAGTGGGAATAAAGCCCCACGGTCATGGGTATGTCTACGGTCCTGCAGGGCTCGGAGCTCTCAAACCCAGCTCCAGGCCAATATAGCTAAGTATACCCCAGATCCAGGGCTCAGGAGAGACCATGGGATTCAAAAGTGGGGAAAGTAGGAGCTGATGGAAAGTATCAGGGTTTCTTGGAAAGAACAGCATGTGCCGCCTGCAACCAAAGCTATTCCTGAAGACTTCCTACAACCCCAAGTGCAGAGTGGACGAGACGGGACAACAGCACACACAGAAGCTGTGCAGCGGGGAGCACAGAAACAGTGGCAGTCAGCCAGTGGAGCAGTGAAGGCACATGGGCCATCAGAAATCCTCATCAAAGCCAGGCGTCACAGTGCATGGCTGTACCCCAGCTCTTGGGAGGCAAAGATAGAAAGATCATGAACAAGGGGGGGGGACACAGAGAGAGTGTTGGATTTTATTTATTATTTTTAATTTGAGGCAGGGTCTTATTATATATCCCAAGCTGGTCTTGAACTCATGTCCCTCCTCCCTCAGCCTCCAGAATGCTAGGATTACAAGCCTATGCCGTCATGCCTAGTAACACCAGGATTGTTGCTCTTTACAGCTCTAAATTTATCAGCATCAAGTAGCTCACTCTTTTAGAGCTTAAGAGGACAGGACAGAGGAGTAGGAGGTACCCAGCATGCACAAGGCTCTGAGTTCCATCCTTAGCACTGGAAAAAAAAAAAAGGCTTAAAGCAGCTATGGCAGAATTGTGACACACACCACCAAGTCCTTCGCACTCGCAGCTGACCTTGTCATCTGGACGGTGCCCAGAGCCCTCCTTAACACAGTACTCCAAGTAGTTTCCACCAAATGATAGTAGCTGGCACACAAGATGGCCAGGGGCCATCTTGGTTTAAAGCTCCACACCTCCTTCAGAAAGTGTAAGCCACCCAGCATGTCAAAAAGGGGATGATGGGTCAGGTTGCATTCTATCCAGACACTGCTGTAAAGCCTCAACCTGCATGCACAGAGATTCCTACATCTGCTCACCTCTGGCCTCTCCCAAGGCCCATGGAGTTAACAAGGGCCATTTAGCCCTGTTCCAAGGATCAATGACCCATCATCAATCACCAATCATGGGCACTGACAATGCTCAGAGTACCTAAGCAAGAACTCATCAACACCAAGCTGACTGCTGGGTACCAGTGGCTCACGCTTGTAATCGTAGCTACTCAGGAGGCTGAGGTCTGAGGACCATGGTTAAATACCAGCCTGGGCAGGAAAGTCCATGATAATCTTACCTCAAATAAACTACTCAGAAAAGGATGGAAGTGGGGCTGTGGCTCAAGTGGCAGAGCACTGGCTTTGAACAAAAGCAGCTCAGGGACAGTGCCTAGGCCCAGAGTTCAGGCTCCAGGACTGGCAAAAAACAAAACAACCAAAAAAAAAAAAAACCAAGCTGACTGATAACATTATCTATGCCAAAAGAGTTGAATTTAATCACACTTAATGCTGTACAGACATAAAAGATACTTCCATCACACATAGACAGGGATACTGAAGAGCCTCTGGGAACAGAATGAGTGGCCACACATGCAAGTCATTATTGGTTCTACTCTGTTAGAATGACTGATAGCAAAATGGACAGGAAGTTGTAAATGTGCCTATTTATACAGAATTTTAGCTCTACAGAATTCAACAGCTTTCCATCAGCAAAAACAGTGCTTGTATGGGCTGTGGGCCAAGCCTCCTTGCCTCCTTTTACAAAGCAGAATGCCAGCTATTCAGAGGGAGGCCTGTCTGTGCTGGATGGAGGAGGGGAACCAGGGGTTTGGGAGCCAAAGGAGTCAGGAGAGGAAGCCTGGCATCCATGCTCTGTGGAGGTCAAGGGCAAATCCGGCAGCAGTTACAGGTTTTGCCACAGACAGGCGAGGGAGGTGCTAATGGGGCCTGAGGACAGAGTCCAGCCTGCAGGGAGGCGGCCATAGGGTCATAGAGAGTAGAAGCATTCCCCACTCCCACAGCTATCTGGGACCAGAAGGGCCTGGGAGGAAGAAGGATGGGATGTTGCATTGTGGAACCCCTTTTCAAAGAAAAAGATTTAGGGGACATTTTTTGGAGAGAAACAGAGGGGTAAAGGGAGTAGTGATTCTGAAGAAATAGCAACAGAGACAGTAGGAGAAGATGAACAAGGGTGAAGCTGTGCTTCCAAGAGATGCTGCAGGGTTAGGCACCCAGAATCAAGGATCTTGGGGTAACAAGAGTGATCAGCTGATGCCAGGCGCTGGTGGCTCACGCCTGTAATCCTAGCTACTCAGGAGGCTGAGATCTGAGGATCATGGTTCAAAGCCAGCCTGGGCAGGAAAGTCCAT